AAAAATCGACCCACCTCTGACCCTTCTTCGGGTCAAGGTTTCTCAGCTTCTTAAGTGATTTCTCAAATGTCTGATCTGGGAACTTGGGTCAGCCTAACTAGCATAGCCTAATCTTGTTTTAGCAGGTTGATCAATATAGGCTTACCCAGACTCATTACGCTTCTTCTTAGCATATGTTTAATATTAGTATGAGATTGAACACACATGAATACAAGTGCTGAAAAACTCATTAACAAATCTGTTAAACCAAAATGGATGTTCCTCTACTGAATGTGAGAGGAACATTGAGATCTGACTTTTGATCCAGAGCTCAGTTTTCCTAACTCCCATTTTTTGCTAGTCACCCTCCTTTTCCCTCTCTGTCCTAACACTAATCCAGCCACCTCTTACTCTCTTCTTTTTTCTTGTCATGAGACCCAACAGAGCAGTGTGCATGCTACCTCATGACTGTGCGTTGTGGTTTTTGACTGCAAATGATGCTGGAGGCCTCCTTTTAATATACAAACACACAGAGACTAAAAAAGTGATCATCCTTTCAAACCCAAAGTACTCCTTTACAACCTGATATATACTGTTTGTGTAATAATGCATCATGATAGTATTGCATCAAAATGATTCATGATTCAATCTCAAGTATGATTTAAAAAAAAATTGAATTTGAAACAAAACTCCAAAACTAAATGGGTGATTTGATCTTGGATTGTGTAATAGACACTAAAGTCAGTAAAGGCACTCCTAAGTCAAAGGTTATACTTGAATTGAACTCTTTTAACTCTATTTAAGCATCATGGCTGCCAGGTGTATCCTACATTCATTCACCGCATCAACTGTGAACATTATGGTGATTCTCATTGTCAATTTCTCTAATTAGTAGAAAGGAAAGGATTATATTCTCTGTTGTTGGGACAGGATTGGTTTAATTATCTAAAATAACATATACGTTTCTGCTTTTTAACAAGATACACAGCCTCCTAAACTTCTGCCATCATCATTGTTCACTCTGATTATGAAAAATGCACGTAATGGTTTGCATAGCTGCTGTATTTCCCACGAATCAAGTACAACCTCTAGTTAATGCAAATACAAGGTCAACATTGTTTGGCATTGTGGATAGGCAGATAGGTGTGCTAGGTGGAGTGTCATTCAGCTCAGAGTAGTGCTGGATATAGGACACAGTAAAAAGGTAATATAAACAATAAAATTGGTCAAATCTGGATATTTCTAAATAAATTTGTCTTGGTTTATTGATTTTTCTAAAGTGCTTACCAGTTAATCTCTAATGAAAACATAACTAAAAGTCAGATTTAAGCAGTAATTAGGAATTGAGCACTTAGGCTTGAAGAGTGAACCCAATAAATCTCATATTCAGAGTTACCCAAATCCAATAAGATCCCATTTCAGCTTCCTGGAAGTGCAGTCTCATTTTACAGATAAAGCCAATGAGAGCAACAGCATTGAAGAAGTTGTTCACACTTCACACACTTATCTGTGAGAGGCAGCGCTACAGCACTCTGCGTTGTGATACACATCATGCTAAAGAGTTCGCTCTCAACATGTACTGACAGAACGTCTTTAAAGTAATGTCCCACAAACCGCAAAGAGGACGACACAATCAGATCATGTCATCAGCAATTGTCAGGAGTGACCTCATCTCTTTTCAGCCAGCACACATTTACACACTAACCTGTTAGAGTGCCTGGAACGCACACACACGTACACACTCATACACATTCACACACACTGATAGAACTGGTCAGTGCAGACAAGGTCTACCATTTAATCTATACTGACATTTCCAGTTCAGAAGGTTATAGGTAGTTAAAAAAAAAGCAACAAACAGGAAGGCTTCATGTTCTTATGCTTCATAAAACACTCACATTATACTCAGACATAAAACACACACCAATGTACTGCCCTAAAACCAAGGTAACACACCCAGAACACTCTATCATAGACATCCATAATTTTCTGATTACTGCAGGAAGAGAAAATAGCTCTTTTACCACACATACACACACACACGCACACACACACATACGCACTTGTGGACCGGAATAAGCATCAGCACTGGAGTGGAACTAAACCTGTCTTTCCCGGAAAGCACATAACCACTCAGTCCTACAATCCACCATTTTTGCTCAACAAGGACCTTTTTTGAAACAGCAATATGGGGAAACTTCCATCCTTCAATATTTTCTGGTTAACACTTCAGAAATTCTGGAAAACTTCAGAAAGCCTGGAAGATTCATTGTTTTCCAGAACAGTAGGAATTTCTTAGCTACAGGCTATCTACAGGCTATCTAATGAATTTGTGGACAGGGAACTAAGCAAGCTGAGTGAAGCATCTTGTTGTTCATTCAAACAAAATGGTGGCAAAAGTCAAACAAATTGCGATGGGCATGCTGCAGCATCTGAGGAAGACAATATAGAATCTGGGTAAGATACTCTAAAAATGTAGTCTCACTACATATTAAATCTATTTTACACAAGACGGAGTAATCTTAGTGGATTAACAAAATTTATGTTATCATTCCTGTATAATGCATTCTTACAATGATCAGTTATATTTACGAATCTAATGCAACAAAGCACAGAAATGAATGCGTCTGCTGAAAAACCAGCTTGACCAGCTCGGCCTATGTTTTGGCAGCTGGTAGCTGGTCAAACAAAGCTGGATTTCCTAAAACAATCCAGAGAAATGTAGCTAGATATCAAAAGTAGCTAAACTTGAGTCTATATAATTGTTCAAAATTGAAACTACTTCCACAGATTTTGCTAATTTGAATTTGGGGTGGAAGAGAGGGCCTAGTAAGTGTTCTAGATATACATCATTGCGACCCTCAATTACATAAACAATTTGAAAATTACAAATTAGTTAGTGAACTAAAACCACAAAAATATAGTAGCATTAAAAATGACATTCTGTGTTAAATGCAGCAATAAAATGCGTCTTGTATCCTTAGCTTTTGGTAGTATTTATATGCTAATTTGGCGGCTCTGTTATGCATCCTAACAAGTAAACTTCAAGCAATTAGTGTGGAAGTAGTGCACATTGGATGTACACTAGACTTAGAGGGCACTATGTAGTAATAATATAGTGAACTGACCAAGGAATATAATATATCTATTGAAATTTGGAAAACACTCCAGAATAACCACACCCCAAATAATGCACTATATAGTAAAGAGGAAACAAATTCAGCTTTTCTTAGCTAAGCTACAAGTAAGGCTACTCGACAACAAATGTAGCACAACCAAATTAGCTAGTTAGATTACAAGCTACATGGAAAAAGTAGCTAGATCTGAGAGGCTAGTTCCACAAAGGATGCTAAATGTATATAATAATCAAAACCAGCTGCCTGACAAACAAAATTTGGATTCAAAATATACCTTGCCAGGGTTAGTAAAATGGAAGAATTTATTAATATTACTTTTCTACGACATTTCCCATCAGCCCTGAAAAGCAACCATGGTCAGTTCTGTGATTCACTAGTACTTAACCAGTTTAGTTAGGCTACTGATTGAGGGTGTTATTGAAGAAACCAGCTGGTTTGACATGTGTTCATGTAGTATCAGTGTCTCTTCGATGCAGTCATGCAAAAAAGGGGACACATATCCCAATTCCTGAATGAGAGAGATATAGAAATAGAGAAAGAGAGAGAGAGAGAGGGATCCTAACTAATCTGCCACATAAACACCCAATGTCTTTAGGGACGAATATCAATGAGAGTCTTCAAGCCTTCCCACTACATTGCCATAGCAACTGCAGAGAGATTCGTCTGCTTCTATTGCTCTTTCTGCTGCGCTATCCACACATACACACACACACACACACACACACACACACACACACACACGCAAAACTACCTACACATATCAATATACCGTTACTGCTTATATGTGACACAAGACTGGGGAGGTTAGTTCCTTGGCCTTTTCAACACACATGTAATCTCTGTTTCCATCATTTCAACATCTGGAGCGAGAGAGAGAGAGAGAGAGAGGAGGGGGGAGCAAGCTGGTGCTAATTATCAGGAGTTCCTCTGGGGGATTATGAGTTTTAATAGCCCTGTTTTATGAGTTACTTTCCTGCTGGGAGACATAGGATTACAGTGTGTATGACACACACACACACACACACACACACACACACATAACATACAAAGCACAAAAACAAGATCGGACTTGGATTCCCATACACAGAAGCAACGGAGAGAACCACATGGGATTTTTACTGACGCACACCCAGACAAGTTACGTAGATACTTCAGAAAGTGGATCACTAAAGACATAGTCATGTGCCCTTAATATGTTTTTATGTTTATGTTCTATCCCCGCTAGCTGTAGGGGACAGGGAACTCTATACACTAGCGTATCGCCTATAACTTCAGAAACTGTTTAGAATAGAAATGTTAGAGTATAAACAATTCACAGTATGAGAACTATCCAACCCATTTGACTGTTATTTATTTGTTTGCTTGTTTGGTATATAGCAAATCTTACAATGGAACTTCAACTTAAATTGTAGCATATCATTGGAGACAAAGTACCGCAGTGGGTAGCATCTCATTACAGTTCCCCGGTTTGATCCTAAACTCAAGTCTGTGCTTGAGTTTTACATTTTCTCACCATGTCTGTGTGGGTTCCTCAAAGTTGTCCAGTTTCCTCCCACCTCCCAAAAGCATGCATGTAGGTGGATTGGCTACTCTAACGTGCGCCAGGTGTGAAAAAGTGTGTGAATGGTGTCGTGTGATGGACTGGTGTACCATCCAGTATTCCTGCCTTACTCCTAGTGTTCCTGGAGTAGGCTTCAGATCTGTCTATCTACCATTAAGTGCATCTTGTATTGATTTTAAATTAAAAAAAAAAGAAAAAAAGAAGACATCATGTACAATGAGCAAAACCATTAACTAATGTTATTGAGATTTTTTCACAACTGATATATTCAGAAAGGCTAGTTGACAATTTTTGCTATTTATGATCGTGAAGGAACACATGGGTCCCTGAAGGACTAGTGGTAGCCCACGGCGCTCACATCACCACCGCCTGAGTTCAATTCCCGGCCAGGGAACCGAACCCAGCCACTGGGGTTACACAAGCCTGTGCACTTCCAGTGCCGGTCCCAAGCCTGGATAATATTGGGGAGGGTTGCACCAGGAAGGGCATATGGCGTAAAAACTGTGCCAAATCAAATATGCGAACCAATGATCCGCTGTCGTGACCCCTAACAGGAGCAGCTGAAAGTGGAACATGATAGTGAAGGAACATCTGTGGAATCTAATATTAAGTGCTTTAAATTGAATTTCAATTTTGTGACTGTGTTTGTTGAAAGGGGGGTATATAAGTCTGATACCACTAGAGAAAATGCTTTTCATTACAAATTATATTGAAAACAGCTGTCAAAAGTAGAATCAAGTAGAATCTTTCAAGTAGTTTCTAATCTGAATTAGAAAAGTAGTAGAATCTTTGAAATATTTACATGAATTTCGGAGTTTCTTAGTATGCTACGTCCCCTTTTTGCTTTAATGTCGGTGTGCACTCGAGCTGGCATGGACTCCAAAAGTTTGTGCAGAACCTTATGATCCATTTTAGATTTTAGAGTTTCATCTTCAACAGAAGAGATTAGCCAATTAGATTTTCTACAAAGCAGTTAACATGATCAATACCACAAATTTGCTTTCATTTAAAGAGAGACCTATAAATAGTGCAGAATCATGAATATTAAAAATTTTAAATATAGAACATTTACTTTCTTTGCTTTAAATATTTCAAAATTCTAAAACCGTCCCAGATCTTTCAAAATTCTAAAACCTTCCCGGATCTTCAATGTGGTCTCATATATTTTACAGTATATGAATATCTGAGAGTTTTGAACTTGTGGAGACATTTGGCTTTTTGACAAAAACAACAGCTTGTATTAAAAAAAAACAAAAACATAAACGAGCCAAGAGATTTTCTTATGGTTACTGGGATTAAGGTTAGGGTTATATTTAGGTGTACGTATAGCATCAATTCGCTGTATTAATGGCAAAAAAGGTCCTCACAAAGATAGTGTGTGTTTGTGTGTGTGGTGTTGCTACAATAAAGCATTAAACCCTACATACCCACCTATCTATAAGACAAAATAAAAGACAATTTAATGCCCTCCAGCAGGTGGATTACGAAGCCAGGTCCATGAAGTGTTTCACAAAAAAAAAATAACCCTAGACTTTCTTGTTTTACAAATATCGTAGCATGTCATAAGAGATGTGCTGCTGTGATGTCATTGCTTGGTATACACAGCGGAGTTTCTAATTCTTTGTTTAGTGTATACAAAACTACCTGTCCACAGAAGCCCCACACCTCACCTTGGCAGGAGTGTATATGGGCCACCTCTCTTCTACTATCGAAGTCGGCACTCTTTAGAAAAAGTTAGCCATGTAAACACAAAATTCAGGTGATTCTGAAGAGGAAAATATAAGTTCATGTCCATTCCAGTTGAACAGCAACAAAATGGGAACTAGGAAACTCTTCTTCAGGAGATTTTTATGCTGAAAACATTCCCAAGTCCCAAGTACATTTCAGTGCTATTAATCAGGAAACATGATTGTCTACAGCAAAAAAAATGCTTGTCTGTATACTGTAATCATAAGACCTGTGTACTATAATATGTATGGAATGAAACATGACAAGGCGTGCTGTTATGAAAATAATCAACAATGGTGGTGTGACGCAGCCTGGCACAAAGTGGAACGTGTTTCATTTCTTATTCCACAGTAAACTGCCAATTTTTTGCCAATTACATTTTTTTTATTAATTCAATTAATTTAAAAACAATATATTGTAGTTTTTTTAACTGTTTAAACTGATGTTTAATGTTGTTGGAACATCCACAAAATAATTTAGCTCCTTTTATCACTTCAGCTATAGCAGCTATAAACATTCCATTGCCAGCCTCAAGTTTTTTTTTATCTCTTATAGTTAATGAGGCAAAAAAATGCAGCTTGTCATGTTAGCAAGAAGCCAGAAATCACAAACTCCTCTGTCCTGAAGACTCTCGCATGGTGGATAACCATGGTGGTGTTGATAACACAGACTCCTTCCACAAATGTTAAATAAACATCTCCTTACAGAAAGCTTCACCATATCAACAATTATACATTTTTCTTTACCAATTAAAAATAGGTTTTTAATCTGTGTATTATTCGGCTAAGATTGTGTGGTTTGTACGCCATCAGTGAATTAGCTGCTGCTATAGAAATGACAACACAAAAGAATGAGCACATTAATATAAACCGTCTGTCTGAGCTGTCTGTTATAGAAAATTAATTAATACCTTCTGACCAATCAGAAGCGAGAATTCAACAGTACTGTGGTATAATTTCCTTTAAACTGTTTGTGGCGCTTTATCTAAAAATAGTCACACATTTATGTAAAAATTCACAATATACTATACAATGGAGCACATCATATACGCATATGTAGTGCAGACTTGTACGCTGTATACAGTATACTGTATGTAAGAAACATATTGAGGAGGCAGCCTCGCTAACATTTAGCATCATTAGTTATCATCCTGCACTAATCCTAATGATATATAATCATAATGATACAAACAACTAATGTATGCTGATGTTGGTTTTCCCTCAGTGTAAGGTTTTTCATGGTTTTGCATGTGTGTATGAGTTAGTGTGTATAAGGTGTATAGGTCTCAGTGAAACAGAGACCCACTGAGCCTGGCCTAGTTCTCAGAGCCTGCTGTAGCCCTGAGGAACCCATCAGGCTTTTAAAGCGTCAGCTCACACTTTACACAAGTAACTGAACATCCAGGCTGCAGACACACACACACATTATACAAGCATTATATGCACATCTACTGATTTGTGAAAACAGTAGAATATAAAAGCAATGACAACTGTCAACATTAAGGACTGTCCTTATTCAGCAGTTGGCATGAGCTCTCCTTGCAGCTCATAATCATTACATAATCACCTAATCACCATTGTCTAAGCTGATTGAGATTATTTGAAGTGATTGTGACTAATCATGAGATCCCCCGATCATATATTTCCATATAAATATCTGTAGTGAGCAAACATGACTTTCAGTCTTAATTAGTTTCTTAGTAATTAAAACTTAAGTAGTTTTGTATTGCTGCACCATCATATCATAATCATCATTATCAGTCATATGCTTTGATCTGTGAACTACTGGTAACTGTGTTTACTGGAAGATTCAGCCGTTTCAATAATACATTTTATATATTTACGTTATTATTTGTGACATGTTTTACTTTTGCATTTTAATGCAATTTTAATTGACAATCATGTTCAGTTTTGGCAAACGCCTCTGTATGTGTACTCCTACATGGCATATTACATGTATTCATTTTTACTTTTATTCAGCCTAACTTACAACTGAGCTGTGCAGTTGAGGGTTAAGGGACAAGCCCAACAGTTTGGAGGTGGTTTAATTTGAACTCACATTCCAAGCCAAGTCCTACAGAACTGGATTTTAAGGAGATAGGTCAATATAACATTATTGATGTTGGTGTTGCTGATATTAGTCCTAATTCACGTGACAAAAATTTCATTCCTTGGGCACTGCATAACATCTTGTTGGCCACATTCATAGAGAGATCAGATGTGATTCTGGGCGCACGTGTTATAACGTCCCTGCACTCTAAGCTCTGACTTTTTCCTGTAGTGACCTAAGCTTTGGTTGAGGAGCTTTTTAAAGATGACCTAATTAGGCATTGTTGTACCTCATTATATTATATAAAGATACACTCAACGACCTTTAGCAAGACTAGCAAGTGGCACTGCCTCACTGCCCAACTGTGTTTCCACTAACAGGATTAAAAAAAAATACACCAGTTTTTAAATAACCTAGTTTTTTGGAAGCCTGGAAAGTCTTTAATCCCAGTTTGTTTGAACAGAAGGAATGCACGTTTATTTAGGCTTCGTTGCTGTCAAAATGCATATAAATCCTCATTTTGCCTCACATGACAGCCTGTATTTCTTGTTTATAAAGTTGAATACTTTGATCAATAGTGCTATACAATGTACACACCTCAGAAGCAGATTTTTTTTTTTTCTAGTTTAGTACTAAATATTTAGGTAATTCAAATTTGAATGTAATTTTTTTAAAGAATTATAAAGACAGCCCTACTCCCAACATACCATCAAGCTTTAGGTAAGTGGGATCAGGTGTTATATACTAATGAGTCTGAATACTCAAGATACTGAGTCAGAACAGGTCATAATAAAATTTAAACTTTGATCTTTTTTTCTCCTAATTCATTTAAAGACACACATACATGCAAAAAAAGTCTTCAGGTCATGCAAATGTAATTTCATCAGAAAAAAGATACTATAGTTGTGACACAGTGCCAATATTACTAATAGTTTCAAGTCAACTGGTTGTTTTGGGGCAACTGCTGTGTTCTCACCTAGGGGAAAAATGGACCAGGATTAAATTCAAATGGACTAAAAGCTGCAAATGTTCAGATGCACCCGTGTATGGTTAAAGTATCAAAACAAACCAAGCTAAAAGACGTTTAAAAGAGTTTGGTCTGCATGATGATGTGGAAGTCACAGTACTGAAACTCTCACAGTAACCGCTGAACAAGATTCCGGTTTATTGAGAGATCAACAGCCAGCAGCTGACACTGGAGCCATTCATCAGCTTGTTTTCATCCCTCCTCCTAACCAACCAAGCCCTGATCTGCAGTCTGCAATTCCCAGCAGCAGACAGCGCAAAAAAAAAAAAAAAAGCTCTTTTTCTTCTTTACACACACCCTACACACATATACACCGGTCTGGATGTGAGTCAGCTTTCAGAACCTGGACTAAAATTGTGTTGTGTGAAGTGTAAAGTGGGGACACAATGTCAGAGAAACAGAGAAACCAGAAGCCGTCCATCAAGGAAATGCGAGTGAGCTGACAAACAGAGTAATAAACGAAACACAAAAAGACCGTACCAGCACATTAAACAGAATAATTCATGCAAGGCTCTATTCCCAGCTCAGCAGGCGTCTAAGATTGTGCATCAAAAATACAGCAGCTGTGTGAGGAACCACACTGATGCAAT